GGAGCCCAATGTGGGACTCGATCCTGGGACTCCAGGATCATGACCTGAGCCGAAGGCAGTCGCTTAACCAACTGAGCCACCCAGGCGCCCCAAGAATTCTACTCTTTAATATTTAGACATCATTTTGGGTAATTGTCATGGCATAATGGGAAGAGCACTGTTTTGGGAGCTAGGAGACTGGGTTCTGTCTGTTCTCTCTAAATTTAGGTAAATCATTTTGCTTCACTGTGTTTATTTTTCGTTGTAATTTCTTCTCTCTTTGTCCTTTTTTGAGACCACATTTCTGTTTACAGATCTTAGTAATTTTTGTGGTTATCTGTTTATTAAAAAGTACCATTTCATAGCTGATCTGTTCAGCTTATGATCTGTTATTGTTTCTTAGTTTTTTCATTTTTATTTGGCCTGATTAATTTTGATTTTGTTGTATTATTTAGCGTAGTTTCATTTAATTCTGCAGATATTTTACTACAAATAGATGGTGGTGTGGAGGGTTTTGTTGTGATGTTAATTTTCACAGAATATTACTCAAATTATTAGCTATAGTCTTCACTGACTCAGTTAAGCTGGGAAAAGCAGTAAAAGTTGAAACATTTGAATAGTAGGTTTCTTGTTTTTAAGTCTTCTTACACTACTTTTCTTATTTAATATCATACTGTAGTTGGGTACTGCCTTGGGTTTCTTTAATCAGGAAAACAGCACCTCCTGCCCAACTCCATAATTAGTGGAAACAACTAGTGAACTGGGCTGGCTTGGACGCTCCCATTTGAAATTATACAGGGATTGGAAGGGAGTCTGGTCTTCCAAACAAAGTCATTGTTGATTATGAATCTGACAGGATTTCTTTAAACTTTTCTTTGTATGAGCACAGTTCTGTGTTAAGCAGGTAGCCGCTTATTTAATTTAGAGACTGAAGCATTGATTCCTTAACTAAGTCAATTCCTTATATTAGATAATCTTTTTATTTTACTTCACTTGTGGCACCCTTCCAACATGCCTTTTGAGAGGGGCCATTTTTTTTTTTTTTTAATAAGGTGCATTCTGTTCATATATTATCCTTCTTAATGTTATCCTAATGAACATAGTCTCAGTTTGGGCAAGCCACTGAGTAAGGCTATCTCTGGAATTCATCTCCGTAGTTAATCCTGAACCATTTGGTATTCCTCTGACCATTTGTGGAGAACATTTTTTGAGACATTTCAATTGTTAGCAATAGTCTCTTCTGTTTTTCTTAGTTTAGAAATTTTAGTTTGATTTTACATATTAGGATTTAAGGGCATACAGAGCTCAACTTAGGGTTCTCAAGATAACCCACAGCCTATCAAATTCTTAACATGTTGTTTAAAAGTCTAATTATAAGGCTGGGAGATTTACATCATTAGAATATTACAACAGGACAGTTAATACTGGCATTTTGTGCAGTCTGGATTGTTCCATGCAGGATGTTTAACATCTCTCGTCCCTCCCTATTACTTGTGAATGCCGCTCTCCAGACATGAAAGACAAAGAAATGCCCTAGGACATTTCCTGATAACCTGTCGGGGATTGGAACTATTGTCTGGTTCAAAATTACTGCTCAGATTAATATTGCATGATCAGTATGCTACTGTTAAGTTTTAAGTGTTTAGGCCTGCTCACATCAAAACTGTACTTGTGGACTCTGTCAGGGTATTATGTTATATTATCCAGTTTTTCTAATTTGGGGCCTGGAGTGGGGGTCTGTTTTAAAGTTTAGGAGTGATATTCTGTGATTTTAGCTCTCAGGCTGTACTGTAGGTAAAAAAAATGTCATTATCCTTCTTTGTTGGTTATTGAGCCATCTATCCATCAGTAATAGCTTTTAACTCAAAATAAAAAAATTTTACCCTTCTCATTATTAATCACAATTTGTATTTTGTAATGATGACTACATGTAGTAAAATTTTAAATGTATAATATAAAGCCGTACCGAACTTGTGCTGTGGTTTACCTATAGGTATATATGATATCACTGATTGAGTTTCTGGCACATCAGAACTAGTTGCATTGTTTTGTAAAAAATTAAACCATAACTTAGCACTGGGTAATGTATGGAATTGTTGAATCACTATATTGTACACCTGAAAATAATGTAACACTTTATGTTAACTATATTGGAATTAAAAAAAATTAGTGCACTACTGCCAAAAAGAAATTAAACCATAACTTATAAAATTAAATATAGTCTTATTTTTTCTGTATAATTGAGTTATTTTAACATGTTATTAGTTTGTAACAAATATTAAACTTTTCTGTAAGTGATACACATTAAAACCAAAAGCATTTACTAAGATGTTAAACATGATGTAAAATTACAAAGACTATATTTCAGAAGAGTACATTCAAATTTATGTCTGATCTTCCCTTAAACTGTATAGACCTTAAAAATATAGAAAAATATATTATCAGAGTTTTTAATACATGCTATTTATTTTTTCCTTTTTTTAACTGATAGAGATTTACAGTGTGGAGTCTTTTGTGCTTAATTCAAGTTTGACAGTACTGCATTGGACCAATTTGCATATGATAGATCTTCATTAAGGCAGGATATTAATTTACTATTTGTTTAAAACTATTACATACAGAGTGCTTATTCATATCTTTTCTAATTTCTAGAAGTAGTGATACAATCCTTAGGACTCATCTCCAAAAGTAGAAGTTGCATAAGAAAATATATTAAATATTCATAAATCATTTGCTGTCAGTTTTCTTTGTAGAAAAGGTAGTAAGTTCTGAATATCATAAAGGTTCTCCATCTTGTGCTGGTTAAAATCTGAATATGGCTCAGTCTTTCATTTTACTTTTCTGTGGAGGTTGTTATTTTAGCTTCCTAAATCATAACAGTAATTCAAATTTATGTTCAACTTGTGTTAAATTTATTTATGAGAGAGAGAGAGAGTGAGAGAGAGCCCAAGAGGGGGGTAGGGTCAGAGGGAGAAGCAGACTGCCCACTGAGTGCGGAGCCTGATGTGGGGCTCGGTCGTGGGATTCTGGGATCATGACCTGAGCCAAAGGCAGACGCTTAACTGACTGAGCCACCCAGGTGTCCCTGTTAAATTTACTTTCTAATGTTAAAATGAATGGGTAGCAATTGTAGTGTCATGCCATTCTTGCAAATCTATTTTAAATTGCCTTCTATTATATGCTTTATCAGGGATTATAAACATTAGATTTTTTAATGGCTTAATAACTTGGTTGTAATTTTGCATATAGAAAGCTAATTTGAAATAACTTGATCAGTTATCAGAATATCCTAAAATTTGATTGTATTTTAATTAAAAAAACCAAAGAGAAACACTTTACATGTGAATGTAAACTAAAGAATTCTCACTAAGAGTCTTTAACAGAGTTATTAAAAGAACTGTGTTCTTCTCAGTACAGTGTACATACAGACAAGGGTTGGTCAGCCAGTTTCTGATTTTCTCATTGTTCTTTTTTTAATTTCTTGTATTAACTGCCTTTTAGATGTACAAGTACTTTCATTTTGGCATTAGGCTATTTTGGAAAGTTACTATTATGGAACAGGTGAACTACAAAGTGATTTAATATGTATAATAGAGGTAGTGTTATAGGTTTTCTTTCACAATTTGAAAGTATTCTCAAGACACATTGGAAAATCATAATTCAGCTTTTTGAACTTATTTTGAAAAAAATTTCAAACCGCTGAAAAGTTGCAGGAATAGTATAGTGAACTCCTGATAGATTAATCAGTCAACATTTTTCCACATTGCTTTCTTCCCCTTCCATACATCTTCTATCCTTCCTTTCCTCCCACTCCCCATTTCTTGCCCACTGGATGTATTTCCTTCCCCCCCCCCCCGCTTTATTGAAGTATAACTGACAAAATTGTAAGATACCTCAAGTGTACAACATAATGATATGATATTCATGTACATTCTGAAAGGATTCCCCCCATTGAGTTAACACATCTATCACCTCACATATTATTTATTTTTGGTGAGAATGTTTCAGTTTTACTCTCTTTGCAAATTTCATTTTATACAATACAGTGTTATCAACTATAGTCATCATGTTATACATTAGATACTTAGACCTTACTCATTTTATAATTGGAAATTTGTACCCTTTTACAAATCTCTCTCTATCCCCCTACTTCCTTGCCAGCCCCTTGCAACCACTAATGATTTTCTTTTTAAAAAAATATATGTATATTGCCTCTCAAGATAGTGAATCATGTACTCCTGTGCATTACTACTATTATTTGTGGAAGTGACTTTCTCAGAATCTACTTGAGAATATTTTGTTCAACTTTCATTTAAATTAAATATTTTTTTTTTCTTTCTTTTTTTAAAGAGAAGGTATAGGCTTTGCTTAAATACGGTTATATTCAAATTTAACAGAAACTTTTGTTTGCTAAATTAATGGGAGCAAAAATTAGGGAATATTTTGCTTATGAAGAACATTTTCTTAAGGGCCTTGTACGAAGTCCTGGGAGTTTCTTTAGGTGTACCATTCAAACTTATTTGAAATGACTTCCTAATCTTGGACAAAAGAAACTTTTGAGTATTTGATATGTGTGGGATATATAAAATGTTTTAATTTAATATATATTAGAAAGTTATTTTGGGGGGTAAATAGATGCTAATTTAGCCATCTTTTGTTCTGAATTAGGAAGCTCTGGAGGAATATGTGAAAAAAGTAAGCTGTATTCAGATGGTAAGAAGAAGTCCTTAAACACTGGAATTATTACTGTTCAGAACTATGGGTCTCATGTACCCCCCAAAGTCTCTCATATTACTTTTGCTCATGAAGTTGGACATAACTTTGGATCGCCAGTAAGTATTGCCTAATTATAAGATTTTTTTAAAGTTACTAAATTTATGTTGAGTGATTTGTTTGTTTACATTGAATACAAGTACCTATGGATGTTTAGTTGTTTTTTTTTTCTTTAATTGAAGTATAGTTGACTGTTTAGTTTTTATATATTGGAACACAGGAATGTACTTGACACTACTGAAAGGGAGGAAGATAGAATATTTGCAAGTCAAATAAGAAAAGTAAGCATAACAATGCAGGATTCTGTGAAGGCAAGGAACTTTTCATTCACTTCTCTGTCTGCTAGTCCTAGAACAGTGCCCACCAGCAGGGGGAAGGGCAGAGGGAGAGGGAGAGAATCTTAAACAGGCTCCACCCACAGTGTGGAGCCCTACCTGGGTCTCAATCTCACGACCCTGAGATTGTGACCTGAGCCGAAATAAAAAGTGGGATGCTCAACCAACTGAGCCACCCAGGCTCCCCTCACTTTTCATTGTTTAAAGTACATTTTGAATGTTAGCAAACTGTGGAGTGGTTTTTTTGCTTGGTTTCTGTTAAAGCATTATCAGGGTTTGTTAGATTTGTCTTTCTCTATTGTGGATTGATATTTTAAAATTTTTCAGTGTGATACTCAAAATTTTTCATACTTTAACGTACACAGAAGTTGAGAAAAATAGTGCAATAAATTCTTACATGCCCATTATCTAGAATAGGAGTCAGTAAACTTTTTTTATAAAGAGCCTGCTAATAAACATTCTAAGTTTTGGAGGTAACATTTGGTCTCTGTTGCATATATTTCTTTGTTGTTTTTACAATCCTTTAAGCATGGAAAACCATTCTTAGCTTAGGCCATATAAAAATGGGCTGTTGGGCTCCCGTTTGCCAACTGCTGATTCAGATTCAACAGTTATCAAGATGTTGCCACATCTCCTTTCTGTGTGTTTCTTTCTTTTTGTAAGGTATTAGAAGCAAATTTATTCACCCTTACATATTTCAGTATACATCCCTAAAAATTTAGACATTTTCTTACATAACCCTAATGTGGTTATGATACCTGACAAAATTAACAATTCTTTGGTGTCATTTAGTACTCAGTCCATCATATTGATTTTCAAGTGACCTAAAGATTGATGCACACAGAAATACAAAATACTGAAAGATAGTCTCTTTGTGATCTTGGTAGGGCTTATTAAATAACAAATTTGGGAAAATATCATTTGACAACTATGTGCATTAATTTTACTTGTACCATATCACTTGTAAAAATGGAAATTTTCATGAGTTTAGAAAAATATTATATAGTTGGAGCTTAAAATCCTCAAATAATTTTCTCCCAGTTTGTAAAATGGAAGTGCCATCTCACTAAAGTTGCAAGTCCTTCTTCTTCTAAGTCCCTATCAGAAATTGATAGATTATTAATGTTCTTGGATAAACTATTTAAAATGTGTTTAATCTCTCTGCCTCTTGAACTGCTTTTGTGATCTTTTGTTTGTTTTGTTCTTGAGATCAATACGTTTTTTTTCTTATTAGAGGTTCAAAACTTTGAAAGCAGTATCTCTTTGCAGCAAATGGACATTATGTGATCTGTTTTATTTATTTATTTATTTGAGAGAGAGCGTGAGCATGAGCGAAGGAGAGGGAGAAGCAGACTCCCCGCTGAGCAGGGAGCCTGACATGGGGCTTGATCCCAAGACCCAAGGATCATGACCTGAGCCAAAGGCAGACGCTTAACCGACTGAGCCACCCAGGCAACACACACTATGTGATCTGTTCTTAAAAGAGTAATTGAAATTGTAGAGATGAGCAGAGAACTATTGCTTATGGTTAGTTTGTTTTTTCAAGGGCAAGTAAATGTTCTCTTTTCTCTCTCAGTCCCCTTGATTCCAACCCTTGCTAGGGGAGTTGTAGTACCCTTCAGCTACTCCTCTGTCCTTTAGTCTAGGGCCTCCCCAATTTTTTTCTTCTATTTATATTTTATTTATTTATTTTTTAAAATTAACACATAATGTATTATTGGTTTCAGAGGTACAGGTCTGTGATTCATCAGTCTTATGTAATACCCAGTGCTTATTACATCTCGTGCCCTCCTTAATATCTATCACCCAGTTACCCCATCCCTCTACCCTCCTCCCCTCCAGCAACCCTGTTTGTTTCCTGTGATTAAGAGTCTCTTATGGTTTGTCTTCCTCTCTGATTTTGTCTTGTTTTATTTTTTCCTCTCTTCCCCTATCATCCTCTGTTTTATTTCTTAAATTCCACATATGAGCGAGATCATATGATAATTGTCTTTCTCTGATTGACTTATTTTGCTTAGCATAATACTCTCTAGTTCCATCCATATCATTGCAAGTGGCTAGATTTCATTTCACATCTTCCTTATGCATTCATCTGTCAATGGACATCTGGGCTCTTTCCATAGTTTGGCTATTGTGGACATTGCTGCTATAAACATTGGGGTACAGGTGCCCCTTCAGATCACTACATTTGTATCTTTGGGGTAAATACCCAGTAGTGTAATTGCTGGGTTGTAGGGTAGCTCTATTTTCAACTTTTTGAGGAACCTCCATACTGTTTTCCAGAATGGCTGCACCAGTGTGCATTCCCACCAACAGTGTAGGAGGGTTCCCCTTTCTCTGCATCCTCATCAGTATCTGTCATTTCCTGACTTGTTAATTTTTAGCCATTCTGACTGGTGTGAGGTGGTATCTCATTGTGGTTTTTTCTTTTTTCTTTTTTTTTTTTAAGATTTTATTTATGTATTTGACATAGAGCACAAGCAGTGGCAGCGGCAGGCAAAGGGAGAGGGAGAAGCAGGCTCCTTGCTAAGCAAGGAGCCCGATGCGGGGCTCGATCCCAGGACCCTGGGATCATGACCTGAGCTGAAGGCAGCGGCTTAACCAACTGAACCACCCAGGCGCCCCTCTCATTGTGGTTTTGATTTGTATTTCCCTGATGCCAAGTGATGTAGAGCCTCCCAAATTTTAATATGCATACAAATTACCAAGGGTCTTAAAATACAGATTCCATTTTCGGGGGCGGGAGGCAAGTTTCTGCATTTTTTAATTTTTAAGTAGGCTCCAGCTCGGGGCTTGAACTCACGACCCTGAGATCAAGACCTGAGCTGAGATCAAGAGTTGGATGCTTAGCCAGCTGAGCCACCCAGGCGCCCTAGTTTTTACATTTCTGAGACATTCCAAGGTGATGCTGTAGCTGCCCCTGGTCTGCAGACCACACTTGGAGTAGGGAATCTAATCTTTTCTCTTTTCATTTCCTGTCTAATCTATTCCCTGCCCAGCTGCCAGAAATTTTTTTTTAGTATATTAATTTTATATTACTTACGGCTTTTTGTTTAATGGATAAATTGGTTTACGTTCTTTGCCTACCCTGCTGTCTTTTCCTCTCATACCAGACTACTTTTAATGATTCTACCATGCTCAATCACACCCCATTCCTTTGTGCATGTTGTTCATACTACCATACATATACACAGTAGTGCTTACTGTTAAATTACTTATAAACTAAGAGCAGCCAGAACTATAAATTCCTGAGCCCGTGTCCCTTGACATCTTTATCTGAAATCTGTCTTTATCTCTCCTGTTGTACATCTGTACTATGTTGGTGTTACTTTCTCTCTGAGTGGTACACACTGTCGCTTATATTTATTTATTTTATCCCAAATCTTTATTGTACACCTTTTGTTAACCACTTTATAAGCTTTGTCTTGGGAAGTTGTAATCATAAATGAGACAAGTTTCTGTCTCTCAGTATGAAAGTTATAATATGTACTTGCTCTTACCAAATTAATCTTTGTCTAGGTTATAGTTCTGATTGTTTTGATCATGTCACTTCAGTTTACAACCTTATTTCCTGTACCTGCTGATAGTGCTGATACAGTTTCCTTATCTTAGCATTTAGGGTTTTCCATCTTTTGGGTTTAAGTGTATTTCCAGTGTTAACTGCCCTCTCCTGTCAGATTAAGTTATTTATAGTCCTTTAAAATTTTCCTTTTGCCAGGAAGCCAATTCCTTCCCATCTCTGCCTACTGAAATCTTGATCCATGTTATATAATGTAAATTGATAGAGCCCTTCTGTCAGTCATTTGTCATTATGTATCAAGACCCTTAAAATGTTTGACCTTTTAACTCAAACTCTACCCTTGGGAGTCCAACTAAAAGAAAAATGCAGAATCTGTCAAAGATTTATGTGCATTAAAAAAAGTATCCATTGCAGTTTTATTTATTTATAGCAAAAAGTTTTAAACAGCCTAAATGGCCCCACAATACGAAAGTATCCTGGAATGCTCTGCAATCATTTAAAAATCAGTGTTTGCCTTATACTGTTAAGCTGAAAGAAACCATGTATATAACTACAAGTGGTATAGTTCAAATTTTGTATTAAAATATGATATGGGGGCACCTGGGTGGCTCAGTCGTTAAGCGTCTGCCTTCGGCTCAGGTCATGATTCCAGGGTCCTGGGATCAAGCCCCACATCGGGCTCTCTGCTCAGCGGGAAGCCTGCGTCTCCCTCTCCCACTCCCCCTGCTTGTGTTCCCTCTCTCGCTGTGTCTCTCTCTGTCAAATAAATAAATAAAATCTTAAAAAAATAAAAAAAAATAAATAAAAAAAAATATGATATGACTAGGTACAAGTCATGCAGGAAGTAGACCAAAATGTTAATAGTGGTTATTATGCATGGTTGATTATGATTGAAATGTTTTATCTATTTTTTATTTTCTAAATTTTCTAAAAGAGTATGTATTGTTTTTATAGCCAGAGAAAAGTTTTTCTGTTTTCATGTCAAACTTTAGAGTTTCTTTGTGAAACCATATGAATTGTCAGCACTTTTTGGGGATATGGTTAAGATGGCCTTTATAGTCTGTTTTATATTTTGCTTACTGGTGTGCTTGTTTATCCCCTGTTCTGAGGATAACAAATACAAATAGTTGGCATGCTTGTTTATAACCTCTTTCTCCCTCCATGGCCATTAATGATGATCCATTACAATATCCTCTGGGCTAGTAAAGTAATAACTGATTAGCAATATCTGTTTGTTTATGTATGTATGTAAGTAAGCAAGCAACCAAGCTCTTTGCCCAATGTGTGGCTTGAACTCATGACCCTGAGATCAAGAGTTACGTAGTCTATCAACTAAGCCAGCCAGGCAGCCCCCGATTAGTAATACCTGTAATGGATTTATGGGGCAGAGTCAGACTAGCCAGGGATATCAAAATATGCTCTCTTTTAAATAGAATATAAGGCTTTTGAGGGCTAGGCTAGGGACAGTGCTTAAACTCATCTTTATATTTTTATATTATATTTTTAGTTCATATAATGGACACATTCTAATATTTATTGAGTTGAAAATACTCTGTGATAATATCAAGAGTTACATAGTATTGGAATTTTTTTCTTTCTTTTTCTAAAATTCTAATGCTGAGAATAATTCTAGTGTCATGCATTATCATAAACCAAATTGAATTCTATAGAATGAAAACATAAAGCAAGGTAATATTGGAGAATAGTCAGGAGTTGTTAAATGCTGAATCTAGGTTCAGGAGAACAGCAAGAGGTACCTGGAAGAATAAATATGATAGGAGAGGTCTTATTTTTAATAGTTGCTTCAGGGGGCGCCTGGCTGGCTCAGAAGAGCATGCAACTCTTGATCTTAGAGTCATGAGTTCAAGCCTCATGTTTGATGTATAGATTACTTAAGTTAAAAAAAAAAAAAAAGACTATAATCTTAAAAAAAAGGTTGCTTCAGATTAGGGAGTAGAAAATGAAAGTAATTTAGATGGGTTTTGAGAAGAAACATAATGCCCTTGGGCATTCCTTCTTTCTGGAGGGTAGAATTGTTGGGTATTCAAATAACAGTTTAAATAGAACTTTTACTCTTGGACCCAAATATTTTCACCCTTTCTGGCAAGTTCTGAATTGTTGTTTGAGGAGCATTGTGAGGTTGGGTTTTTGTTGTTGTTGTTGTTTTAAGATTTTATTTATTTATTTGACAGAGAGAGAGACTGATCATAAGCAGGGGGGAGCGGGAGAGGGAGAAGTAAGCTCCCCGCTGAGCAGGGAGCCCGACTCCGGGCTCAATCCCAGGATCCTGGGATCATGACCTGAGCTGAAAGCAGCCGCTTAACTGACTGAGCCACCCAGGCATCCCTGTTTTCTTTCCTTTTTTTTTTTTTTAAAATGCCTATCTCCCAGAGGAGGAAGGAGGGTGGGGATGCTGCTGTGATCTGATAGTATTCTGTTAGTTGATCTCAGTGCTGGTCACATAAGTATATTTACTTTGAGAAAACTTATGGAGCTATAGTTTGGTATTTTTCGGTGTGTATCTGATACTTCCGTAATATTTGCCAACACCATAAACTTTCTGTGTACATATACATGTGTGTCTGTTGTTTTACCCTTGCAAATCAGTGTTTTAGTTTTACCACTTGGCTCTTCTTGTCATTTAAAAGTAGTATTTATTGGGGTGCCTGGGTGGCTCAAACGACTCTTGGTTTCGGCTCAGGTCATGATCTTGCAGTTGTGGGATCGAGCCTCGTGTCAGGCTCTGTGCTTAGTGTGGAGTCTCCTTCAGATTTTCTCTACGTCCCCCTCCCTCTCTCTTTCTCTCTCTCTCTCAAATAAATAAATAAAATCTTTAAAAAATAGCATTTACTTATCTTTCTTATATACTAGTTTATAAGTCAACTCTCTTAGATGCTTATCTTGTATGTACTTAGCTTCATGCCATTCTGTTTCCTGTCTTTCCCCATCTGTCTTCTCTGAACTAGTCGTTAGTAGTTTAGCATGTATGTTAAAGAATATTTAGTCATTTTAAGTAGTTTATATTCCTGTTACTAGTTTTGAAAATAGGTGAGCTTATTTTTTTCATTTTATTAAGTTTTTAATTTTAATTCCAGTGTAGTTAGCATACAGTGTTATATTAGTTTCAGGCATACAATATAGTGATTGAACAATTCTGTACCTGACTCAGTGCTCATCATAAGTGCACTCCTTAATCCCCATCACCTATTTCACTCATCACCCTACCCACCTCCTCTCTGGTAACTATCAGTTTGTTCTTTATAGTTAAGAGTCTATTTCTTGGTTTCTCTCTCTCTTTTTCCTTTGCTACAGTTTCTTAAATTCCACATATGAGTGAAATTATGTGGTATTTGCCTTTGACTGACTTATTTCACTTAGCATTATTCTCTCTAGCTCAATCCATGTTGTTGCAAATGGCAAGATTTCATTTTTTATGGCTAAATAATATTCCATTGTATATATGTACTACATCTTCCTTATCCATTCATCTGTCAGTAGGCACTTGGCCTGTTTCCATAATTTGGCTTTTGTAAATATGGCTGCAATAAATATAGGAGTGCATGGCGAGCTTATTTTTGATAGACTTTATGATGGTTTATCCTCCATTCTACTCCCTCTTTACTGAGCTGTACATTGTTGTGGCTAGACCTTCAGTCATTTTTCCTCCCCTTCTAAGACAGTGGCTCCTAAAAGAGCAAATTGTTTTCCTTCTCACAGTCTAAAACAATTGTAGGACCTTTTTTAGAGGAGAGTCCACAAGCTTCCATTGTTCTTCTGGTGAGAAAATTACATTTAATCAGATGACCTGAAAACCTTATTTTACTTCCTGTTTATGTAACTCTATATTCTGTTTGGCAGCATGATTCTGGAACAGAGTGCACTCCAGGAGAATCTAAGAATTTAGGGCAGAAAGAAAATGGCAATTACATCATGTATGCAAGAGCAACATCCGGGGACAAACTTAACAACAATAAATTCTCACTCTGTAGTATTAGAAATATAAGCCAAGTTCTTGAGAAGAAGAGAAACAACTGTTTTGTTGGTATGTATGTTTTCCCAACATATATTTTCAAACATTCAGGCAACTTGAAACACCCATGCACCTACCACCTCTATTTTATAACTATTAAAACTTTGCTGTATTTACCTTACCACTTATTTACTAATTTATCCATCCCTCAATCCCATTTTTTTGTTGTTGTTGCAACTTAAAGTGGATTGCAGACATCAGTATGCTTCACCCTTAAACACTTCAGCCTGTATAATTAACTAAAGTTCAATATTGTTTGTGGTTCTTTTTTTTTTTAACATAAAATGTTGCACAGTAAGTCCACCATTTAATGAGCTTTGACAAATGCATTTACCTGTGTAACCTAAGCACCTGTCAAAATACAGAATATTTCTGTCACCTCAGAAAGTTCTTTTATTTCCTTTTGCAGTTTCTGCCCCCAACACATTCTCAGAGGCAACCATTGTTCTGATTTATTTCACTGTAGAGAAATTTTGCTTGTTTTACTTCATATAAGTGGAATCATATGGTTTATATTCTTTTGTGGAGGGCTGCTTTCACTCAGCATATTTTGAGATTCATTATTAGTGTTTTGTTCTTTTTTATTGCTGAGCAGTTCATATTGCATTGTATGAATATATCACACTTTGCTCATCCACTCTCCTATTGATTAACACCTGGGCTCTTTGGGTTTCTGCTAATATGAATAAAGCTGCTGTGAAATTTTTTTTTGCCTTACAGTAAAGAAAAAAAGATATAAAATATGTATGATTTTATTAATATCTAAGCTAATTTTAAGTTAAAGTTCAGTGGCATTAAGTACATTCATGGCTGTGTGCAACCATCACCACTACCCATCTCCAAACTTTCTCATCTCGCCAGATAGAAATTCTGTAATCATTAAGCAGTAACTCCTGCTTCCCTCTCTCCCTACTTGGTAACCTCTAATCTATTTTCTGTGTCTATGAATTTGCCTGTTCTAGGTACCTCATACAGATGGGATCGTACAATATTTGACCTGCTGTGTCTGGCTTATTTCATTTAGCATAAAACTTTCAAGATTCATTCAAATTGTAGCATGTATCGGAATGCCATTCTTTTTATGGCTGAATAATATTCCGTTGTATGGATAATACCACATTTTGTTTATCCAGTCATCTGTTACGCCTCTCTTGTGGCATTTAATATGTTCTAAATATTCTACCTTGTATTATGTTTGTTTGGGTCCCTGTCCTATTTCACAAGATTATAAATTACTTGAGGGGAAACACACCTACCTCCCTCCCTCCTGCCATCCCCTGACCGATGCCCTACTAAACCATTCTCCATTTGTAAAATTTTGTCAGTCCAAAATGTTGTATAAATGAAATCATACAACATGTAACCTTTGAGATTGGCTTTTTTCGCTCAGCCTCATTCCCTGAAGATTCATTCAAACTGTTGCCTGTATCAGGAGCTTGATTATATTGCTGAGTAGTAGTCCATGGTGTGTATGTTCCACAGTTCGTTTACATTTGTAGCACAGGCTACAAGGGAACCACAGCTCAAACACATAAACCCAGCGCAAGGCATATCTGAGTCCAAACGGTTCTAGAAAGACTAGCTTTATATTTAGAAAGTTTATTCACCTGTTAAAGGCTTTCTGGGCTATTTTTAGTTTCTGGCTATTATGAATAAAGCAGCTATAAACATTTGTGTACAGGTTTTTTATGCAAATATCAGTTTTCATCTCTCTGGGATAAATGCTCCCAAATCCAGTTGATGGATCATATAGTAATTGTTTGCTGTATTTTCTGGAGTGGCTGTATTATTTTAGATTCCTATCAGCAGTGTATAAGTGATCTAGTTTCTCTGCATCCTTGCCAGCTTTTGGCATTTTTATTGTTTTTATTTTATCCATTCTGATAGGCATATAGTGATATTTTGTTGTGGTTTTAATTTATATTTTTCTGATGACTAAAGATGTTCATCTTTTTATGTGCTTTATTTGCCATCTGTGTATCTTCTTTGGTGAAATGTCCATGTTTCTTGGCCATTTCTCATTGGATTTTTTTTTTTCTGTTGAGTTTTGAGAGTTCTTTACATAGCCTACATACTAGCCATTTGTCAGATACTGATCTGCATATATTTTTCTTCCGGTCTGTAGCTTGTCATTTTATCCTCTTCACAGAATCTTTCCCAGAGTAAAAATTAAATTTTGATCAGCCCCAAATTTCAATTTTTACTTATATTGATTGGCTTTTTCTTTTAAGGCCTTCTGTTTCTTTAAAAAGGGCAGATTCAAATTATATTGACGGTATCGTTTTTGTTATTGCTCTTGTTATTATCACTGGTAGGTTTCTAAAACATCTTATGTAGAAGTGCTACATAGAGTCTTTATTTGTAAACCGGATTTTCACAGTAAACTTTCTAATTGAAGTTGTCTTTTAAAAATGAGCATATTGTTTTGTAGGTATTATGGTAAGGAAATTTGTTTCTTTTTTTTTTTTTAAGATTTTATTTATTTATTTGGCAGAGAGAGACACAGCGAGAGAGGGAACACAAGCAGGGGGAGTGGGAGATGGAGAAGCAGGCTTCCTGCCAAGCAGGGAGCCCGATGCGGGGCTCGATCCCAGGACCCTGGGATCATGACCCGAGCCCAAGGCAGACGCTTAACGACTGAGCCACCCAGGCGCCCCAAGGAAATTTGTTTCTTAAATTATAATGAGATATGTGTCTATTATAATTTTTGCATTTAAACAGCACCTTTTCCATGTGTCCTAGCTTATTTGAAGTAATATTTCTATATGAGATAAAAACCAGTGTGTAGTAAATATTGCCTCAGAGGTTTTCTGACTTTATCATTTTTCCTTTTCTCTTAAATTACATATCTTATGAATTCTGAAATGATGATTTTACGATACTTTAGAATAAAGTCATTATTACTTAGGATATATGTCCATGTGCATGTTTCTAGTCTTAGAGAACAGAAGAGGTGGTACAAAATGAAAGGGAGAGAGCTTCAGTTAGCTCTAAGATTTCCTTTAATATTTGATGTGGTTAAGGATAAGAATGAACTTTCTAAATGTAAAGCTAGTCTTTCTAGAATAGTTTGGATTCAGATGTGCCTTGTGTTGAGTTCATGTGTTTGAGATGTGTTCCCTTATGTTTATTCAGTTCTCAATTTGAAGCCTGTGCTGCAACTGTTTCCCACATCAATTTGATGTAGCAGAAAGAAAAGAGCACCAGATTTCAGATCCCAGAAACCTGGGTTTGGTCTTCAATTTGCCCATACTGAGGCATATGGTTTCCGGCAAGTCACAGACTCTCTGGAAGTTACTTTTCTTTTCTAGAAAGTGAAGACATTTGATTCTTGTCATCTCCCTGCAGATGCTAAAGGTCTGTGATCTTCTGATCTTACAAAGAATAGCATTCCTCTTCCAATTTTAAAGCCCATTGATAAAATTCGCGAACTTTAAAAGAGAGCCTAAAAATTTTTCTAAAATTATTCACTGTGCCTAGACCAGACTGTCTAACCTTAATGAGCCAGGATTTGACCCAATACTGTTAGCCTTTTGGGGAATACAAAAAATAGGAGTAATATGTTGTTCTTCCCTTAGAGAGCTTGGGTCTAGCTGAGGAGCAAATTAATGTGCATTAAAAAAAATTATTTATTGACTAGGATACAATCAGCTAAGCACAATGTGGGAAATTCTGTAAGACAAAATGACCCAATTTCTTTAAATAGTGTAAAAATAAAAAGAGAGGAAGGAGTCTGTTATATTTAAAAGAACACATACCAACCAAAACCAGCCATGGGGTTGAGGATCCTTATGTGGAACTTGGTTCAAATAAACCGGTTGTAAAAAGACAGTTGAGGAAATTGAACACGGATTGGCTATTAGATGCTATTAAGCATATTGTTAATTTTGTTAGATGTGATAATGCTATTATGGTTAGATTTAAAAAAGAAACAAACTCCTATCTCTTAGATTCATCCTGGAGTATTTACAAGAATAAATGAATATGTTAGGTGGAATTGTTTACAGCATATTGTTGATAGTTGTTAAAGCTAAGTGATTGGTACATGGGAGTTCATTGTACTTCTACTACTTTTATGTATGTTTGAAATTTTCTATTAACACAAAAGATTTAATTTTTTTCAGGTTGTTAAAGCGCTAACTTAATTCGTATTTGCGTAATGTAAATGGTGCGGTTCAATAAAGCTCAGTGTGGCCTAAATAGAGTGTTACCACTTCCAGAAGGGACCTTAGAGGGGACCATAATGTCAAATCTTTTCACTGTACAGATTAAGAAACTGAGGCCCCCCAAAAGGGAAGTGACTTGCCCAAGGCCACATTGCTAGTTAGTGACTGAGCCACTCTTAGAATTGAATTTAGGTCTTCTGATTTCGAGATTCCTAGTTCTCCTTTTTGTATTCATCAAATTATCCTTTCTCCCTTTGTTATGAGGTTCCAAAGTTTGTGGATTGTAAATCAAATTAATGTGTGCAGACAGTGCTTACTTTGTTTTATTGATTTTCCTCAGAATCTGGCCAACCTATTTGTGGAAATGGGATGGTGGAGCAAGGTGAAGAATGTGACTGTGGCTATAGTGACCAGTGTAAAGATGAGTGCTGCTATGATGCAAACCAGCCAGAGGGCAAGAAATGCAAGCTGAAGCCAGGGAAGCAGTGCAGGTACCCTGCCCGTTCCAGGAGTGCTCACACTGCCGCCGGTCAGCCAAGGGCAGTTGTGACCGACTTAAAACTGACATTAAGAGATGCATAGTGTTGGGAATCTTCGTCTTTATTTGCTGTTGCCTTATTTATTTTTCTGGAGTAGCATTGATGAGTGCACTGTGGTTGGCAGAGTGAGCTAGTTGTAACTTGTGTGGTGGGTATTAAAAAAAAAGACAGGCAAAAGTCAGGACACTCAATAAAATACACACTGTTCAGTTACTAACTTAAAAATGTGACTATCATCTGTATTTTTAGATTCTTAACTTTAAATATTTAGGTAATACTGATTTCATAGACTCTTGTAACTTAGTGTCATATAATTATTTCACTTTTCAAACTTACTTTGGTAGTGGTAGGTATAAGCATTAGAATATTGCTTGTGCACTACTTTTTAAATGGTTGGTCTGTATATCCTAGTTTGATTTTAGCATAGAAATATGAGAAAATCTGATGAATTGACTAATGTATGATGTAACTGTGAAACACTGATGGCTCACCTAATATTAAATCTATTTTCTGTGATAGCCTTCCACTAAAGGCAGGTAGAATAAGAATGTTGAATATAGTATGCCTTGATTATAAAAACAACACAGTCACTTTTTTACATTTATAGAATGTTGAAATTTAGTAGCCTCTTAGTCCAAAATTTGAAGTTGTATACCAGTAACATACTTACCATTTAAAAAATGAGAGTTATGATTTAAAAATTAGGATCATATCTATGTATATAGGAGATATGCTAGTGATTTTCTTTAATCACTTTACTGTTTATTCTAGCCCAAGTCAAGGTCCCTGTTGTACCGCACAGTGCGCATTCAAATCAAAAACTGAGAAGTGTCGGGATGATTCAGACTGTGCAAAAGAAGGAATATGTAATGGCATCACAGCTCTCTGCCCAGCTTCTGATCCTAAACCAAACTTTACAGACTGTAATAGGCATACACAAGTGTGCATTAATGGGGTAAGCGTTTGATTTATAAGCTTTTTATAAAACCTGCTTTTTCAGAATAATTTTGTTACTTAAAGCTGCAGAGTTCCAGTAATTGATCCTGGTCCCTGTTTCAATAATATCCCTATCTGTTTCCCCATAAAGCCATGAATGTATCATGTGGCGTAAGTGCCTGGTGGCATTTGATTAATTACTGACTTACCTTTCATCTGTCCACTGCATATGTTTGATAGTCTCTAGAGGAAAATAGTTGTATAGCTAGGCATATGACTTGGTACTGCTTTTGAGTTTTATAAATTAGTATTTTAACAGCCTACATAAAAGAACTCTTTTGGCCATTTTATCTGAATGTGAAGCCTTTAAAACTTTCTTGGCTAAATATTTACTTTACATGAGGAAAATATCATTTTTCTCTTCTTATAAAGGAGCCATAATAACCAATGTAAAACTGATGCTCACCTAATCTCTTTCTCTGTTTTGGTTTTGTTTAGATTTTTTTAAGTTGGCATTTCTTTAAAAGATTTGCTACCTTATTTGTACTTAACTCTTTTTCAGGTGTGTTTATATGACCCATTTCTGATATTAATCTTTGTTTTTTCCACTTGTATTTCTACTTAATTATTTTAGCATCAGAGTGTGTATCTGTCTATTACTGTGAACAATAGGTTTGTATAGAGATTAAAAACTGGTCTTTTACTTTTCTTTCAGCAATGTGCAGGTTCTATCTGTGAGAAGTATGGCTTGGAGGAGTGTACCTGTGCCAGTTCAGATGGCAAAGATGATAAGGAATTATGCCACGTCTGCTGTATGAAGAAGAGTAAGGCTTTTAAAACCCAAGAATATAAAATCTCTTTTAAAACCTAATTTTTCTGGGGCACCTGGATGGCTCAGTCGTTAAGCGTCTGCCTTCGGCTCAGGTCCTGATCCCAGGGTCCTGGGATTGAGCCCCACATCGGGCTCCCTGCTTGGCGGGAAGCCTGCTTCTCCCTCTCCCACTCCCCCTGCTTGTGTTCCCTCTCTCACTTGTCTCTCTCTGTCAAATAAATAAATAAAATCTTAAAAAAAAAAAAAAACCTCCTAAATTTTTTTAAAGTTTATTTATTATCATCATTATTATTATTTTTAGTACCTCTGTACCCAGCGTGGGGCTTGAACTCACAACCCTGAGATCAAGAGTTGTGTGCTCCTCTGACTGAGCCAACCAGGCGCCCCTAAATATATATTTTTTTAAGTAGACTCTACCCCAACGTGGGGCTTGAACTCACGACCCCAAGATTAAGAGTCACATGCTGTATCAACTGAGCCAGCCAGGCGCCCATTTTTCTCCTAAGTTTTAAGCATTAAACTTTGTTATCCAGTTTGGACAGATAATTTCCACCAATACTGATCCTCTGGAAAATTTTAAATGTAGCATAGCGTTATGTTTCTAGTATTATGATCCGTACAGTGTTTTAAAAATGATAAGCTAGACAAAAACCTGCCAACTTTATGGCAATAATTAATATAAACACTGTTAGCCATTGTAGGTACTAAGTCAAGAGTTGGTGGCTGTTTGTTTATATTGTATGTTTAAGGCGAATTACTAATGGTGTTATCCAGCCTAAACTAATGCAAGTCTATATAACATGTCATGGTAATGATTTTAGGCAGTTTTTTCCTTTCCTCCCTCTCTCCCCAGCTAGCCTGGTAGGAAATCTGATCTTCAACTTATATTTGGCACTTCTTTTCCAGTGGATCCATCAACTTGTGCCAGTACAGGGTCTTCGCGGTGGAGCATGCACTTCGTTGGTCGAACCATCACCTTGCAACCTGGATCCCCTTGCAATGATTTTAGAGGCTACTGTGATGTTTTCATGCGGTGCAGATTAGTAGATGCTGATGGTCCTCTAGCTAGGCTTAAAAAAGCAATTTTTAGTCCAGAACTCTATGAAAACATTGCTGAATGGATTGTGGTAAGTATAGTTTTTATTTATAAAGAAAACTTAACATGGTTTTTTTGTAATTTTACCTGGCCATCGATCACCAATGTTATGAGAAAATCACTTCTTTCCTATTTATGCTGGAATTAACTTTATCAGAAGAATGATTTTTAAAGTTCAGTTATCCCTGTGTATTATTTTCTTTTGAGTAAGTGGTCAGAATCTCCACATGTATATTGTTCATAGATTAGTTGGTAGATGATGAGAGTCCTTCTGTTTTACTCTGCTCCCTGGTTCTTCTCCTGAATGGGTTACTTCCTCCTTTGGCCCATATTATTAGGGCATTTTCCTCAAGTTGTTTTGGAAAGCCTTGCTTGCTTTTTATATTTCTCCCTTGTCTCAATATGACAGATAGCCAGCTGCAGCTTCTATTTTGCTGAACAGGAGACATGAAAGAGAAATTGGTGATTTTCTGAAGGTTTTTTTTGTTGTTTCAATATAATTTCTTGGTCTTTATCTTGTCAGTGATCAAAAATGTTGAACAGTTAAGATCCGATACAGAGCCTTTTGCAGATTTGTTAATGATTATGGATGTTCATCCAGCATAAATCCACTGAACTATATTATTTTTAAGCCCACATTTCTCTAAGCTGTACAGATATTGAATTACCTGAAATTTCCTTAAAAGATTGCTGAGAATGACTATCTGAAGTCTCTTAAATATTCATGTTTCTAAGTGATTACATTAAAATATCAGGAAATTTGCAAGTGATATATTTGAGCATGTGCTATATCTGAATTGAATGAGTTTGCTTTGGAAATTGACTTAGAACTCAGCTCCTCCTCCCTTCCCGCATTCCCAAATTGTTTCTTACATTTTCTTGTGTGTGTTCAGGACTGAGGATGCCTTAAAGGCACAAGAAAAGTCGTCTGTGGCTTGTCATCCTTTTTGGTACTCTTGTAGTAACATTTGCAATAAAAACTTTGGAATTACCTCCAGTACTAAAATAGTGTTTATTGGGGCGCCTGGGTGGCTCAGTCAGTTGAGCCCCTGACTCTTGATTTCGACTCAGGTCATGATCTCAGGGAGGTGAGATTGAGCTCCAGGTGGGCTCTGCACTCATCAGGAATCTGCTTCTCTCCTTCTGCCTCTGTCCCCCGACTTCACGCATGCATGCATTTGTGTGTGTGTACGTGCACATACATGCACATACTCTCTCAAATAAATAAATAAATCTTTTTTAAAATGGTGTTTATTATACATAGGAAGAATAATATTTTGCATGTTAGAGTATATGATTTTAAATTACATAATGATTATGAGGTAGAAGGATCACTGAACCTGGATTTAGGAGGCCTAGGATTTATTTGTTTGGAGAATACTTTCTTTTTTTTTTTTTTTTTAAATTAAGCTCTTTGTCCAACATGGGGCTTGACTTCACGACCCTGAATCAAGAGTTGCATGCTCTACCTACTGAACCAGCCGGGTGCCCCTAAGAGACCTAGGTTTTAAACCAAAAGATGGGTCAATTGACTTAACTTAGGTCTCCTTAAAACATGATATGTTACTCATTTTCACACTCCTGTGCTTGGTGCATAATAGGTGTTAAAAAAAAATATCCGTTAAGCTAAAGGTGCCTTTGGCACTGTGGCAAAATGGAAAGAGTGCAGGCTTGGGAATTATGCAAGGATTCATATCATCCTCTGACATTTGTCAGTTCTGTGACTTCAAGGAGCTTGCCTTGGCCCTTTACTTCCCTCTTTTCAATTCAGATCCAGCTCTTTTTTTTTTTTTTTTTTCTCCTTCTCCCTGATTATCTCTAATAAGAGTAAGTTGAGATCTGGTATACTTATCCACTATAGAGGACAATGTATTTAAAAAAGTAATCTGATAATGGAGATCTCAGAGTTATGTTCTACTGGGTATATGTTGTGCCAGATATTTTAGGTTTTCTAGGTAGTGAATCATATCTAAAAATAATATTTTTTTTACTTTTCTCCATTATCTCTAATTTTGATTCCTTTTATTTAGCATATCAAAAGCTCATTCATTCCTATTTTTAAAATATTTAATGGAAATGATTTTTTTAAAGTATTACTTTTTTCCCAGGGTTTTTTTTTTCTTTTTAAGTAGGCTCCATGCCCAGCATGGAGCCCAGCACAGGGCTTAAACTCAAGACCTGAGTGAGATCAAGACTTGAGCTGACAGGATCAAGAGTCAGATGCTTAACTGACTGAACCACCCAGATGTCCCTAAAAGTATTTTTAAAACATTTTTTCATACTTAGATTTGAAGATTTAGTGAAATGCTTCTTACAATGAATTAACAATATGAAGTCTTTTCTTGTGTTCTGAAACTGATTAATCAGGCACTTTTAGGTTTATACAAGTTTGCCTTAAGTGAGTGTAGAATGCTTTCATTTTATATCACTGTTGACACTCACATGCCACTGTTTCAGATAGCATGGCCCATAATGCTTGGAGAGTACTACTAGGCTGTTGCTGCATTTGTGGGCATTCCCAGGCAAACAGATAACAAAGATCCAGTTTCTTAGAAGCTGTTTGTCTCACTTGTGTTCTGTGTAGAGTTCACTTGCATAGCAGAGTTTATTTTGTTACATGAATACTTCATACTTTAGTTTTCCATCATGTCGGGAAAGGGTCCTTCTAGTTAATAAGCTGGGTTATTAGGATGCTGTGGTGTAAGATGCTGTGAAGAGGAGGAGGGTTAGTTTCACTGACTTTCCTTTCCAGTGGGGCCAGTGGCTTTTTTCTCCTTTCTGTAGCATACCCTGGCACCTTTTCTCCTCAGATTGCATAGAGTAAGAAGAACCTGAACAGTTTAATACTTTTCAGGGCATGAGGTATTGACTGCTGCTGATATCATGGAAATGATGTGAGAGAACTTTTACTTTTTTTTCCTGGGAAAAGTTGTTTTTGATAGTATTTTTTAAAAAATATGTTTGCTATATTTGCTGAGTGCTTACAATGTTTCTGGCAAGGAGATAATGATAAACATCCTTTGGATTTATCAAGGAGTCATCTAGTCCTTAAAAAGTTTGAGAGCGATTACCAAGAAATCTTTTGAGACTCTGCATCCTTATCTCCTTTTTTTTAAAAAACGTTGTTGAGGACATTGGTAATTCTTTTTTACTTTTTTCCGTAGTTATTGATGTGTTCACATTTTCTACCTCCTTTGTATTAGATTTGACATTGTAGAAAACTATCTTTGATTTTTTTTTTCAAATTTATCATTGTATTTCCCCATCTTTTTAAGATTTACTTATGTATTTGAAAAAGAGACACAAAGCATGAGTGGGGGGAGGGGCAGAGGGAGAGAGAGAATCTCAAGCAGATTCCACACCTAGTGCTGAGCCCGATGGGGGGTGGGGTGGGGGGTGCTCTATCTCAACCCTGAGATCATGACCTGAGCTGAAATCAAGAGCTGGACACTTAACCGACTGAGGCACCCAGGCGCCCCTCTCCCATCTTTTTAAAAATAATTTCCTGTTATTTTGTGACTTTTTAATTTGTTTAGATTTATCAGGAGTTTTTCTTTTTTATTATTATTTTGATAAGAATCAATTGTATTTCTCATTTTTAAATTAATTTCTCCTCTCATATTTTGTTGTAACTTTATGAACCTAAGTATTATTATTAATGTTATTCTTTATGAAAGATTGAAGCCAGTGTTTTCTGAGTACTTCATAGAACACTAGATCCATGGATTAGGTGGTCAAATGCATCTGGAAAACATTGCATAGTATAGTCCCCTCTTAGATACTTATGAGAATATTGTGGGATATATGCAGTAAAAAATGCTTAAATTTCATTTTCCAAACTTACCTGACCCCAGAAACCTCTATTCATGTAAGGCTTATTAAACCCTAAATATCCTTAGAAGTCACTTGGGGGAATATTGGTTAAGATAAGTAATTCTTTTTTTTTTTTAATATCAGTAATTCTTATTCCTGGTTATTCATTAATTAGGGCTTAGACTAATTAATTCAGAATCTCATGGGATGGCACTTATGTATCTGGGTCTTTTAAAAGCTCCTCAGCTATTTCTGGTGGGGAGCCAGGACTGAGAACCAACCATTCATCTAGACCCAGGGATCGGCAAAATGGCTTATGATCCAAATCTAGCCCACTGCCTGTTTTTGTATGGCTCACAAGCTAAGAATGGTTTCACATTTTGAAGTAGTTGAAAAAAAATCAAAAGATATTACTGAAATAATATTCCTTTGAAAATCATATGAAATTGAAATTTTAGTGTCCATAAATAGTGATTTATTGGAACATGGCCACACCCTCTATTTACATATTGTCTTTGGCTGCTTTTGTACTTTGAGTAGTTGTAGCAGAGACTGTATGGCCCCCAAATCTAAAATATTTATCTAGCCTTTTAGAGGAAATGTTTGCCAACCCCTAATCTAGAGCACTGGATCTCAAAGTGGTGTCCCCTGACCAGCAGCATCAACATCATCTGGGAACTTGATAGAAATGCAAATTGTCGGGCCTCACCCTGGAGCCACTGAGTCAGTAGGTGATAGTGCATGCTGAAGTTTGGGAGCCATTTTTTTAGTCTCTGCAGTGTAATGACTCCTTTTTAAAAAGGCTTATGACAGAGATTTTCTACTCTGTCATCCTCACATGTTAAAATGGAGGGTGGGTGTGGACCTGCATTGCCTAGTAGAATAGGCCGCATAGCTGTCACTTGTGAAATTTGAACAACAAAGATGCAGTATTGTCACAGGGCTTAGCATATGGTAAGGATTCAGTATATATTTGCTAGATGAATGAAGCAGACTTCTTAAATGTCATAATTTATATGGAATAGATAAAAATTGTGCATATTATCTTAACTTTGAAGCTGTAATATCTTCAGGTTTCTCTCGGGGGTATTTTATCCTGCTTGCCCAGGCTGCGCTTAAAGTAACTAAGAGATTAGTAGCCAGTTGCTTTCTGCTTGGCAGATTGGTGTGAGGGGTGGCACGTTGGGGGTGTTGCAGTATGAAAGAACATTTAGTCGA